ATGAGATCAATTTTATAAAGGATCCAGATAGGCCTGTCTAAATTGTTCCATTAATTCCAGAGGGCCTAAAGTGTGAGCATCAAGGGTCTGAATCTGACACAAGGGCAATTGATTATATTTTTGGTTCTGCGTTTATTTTCTCTCTCTCTCTCTCTATGTATGTGTGTGTGTGTGTATATATATATATATACACATAATTTTTTCAATGCAGTAAATGTATGCAAAACAAAGATAGAAAGTAAGAAAGAAGGAAATGAAAAAAAAATACAATTATGCCTTCTGCCCTTTCTATTGAGTAATTATCATCTTAATCTATTCTTTGGTTTTGCATTCATTTTCAGACCTATTCCAGATCAACCACAAATACTGTTTATGAGGTATGTACTACCTGCTTGTTGAGGTGGATGCTAAAATGCAGTTATTACACACAGACTCAGGATTGGTGTAAAATTGTATTGCTGTAAGTTTTTCTACAGTGGGCACTGTCTTTGGGTAGTGGAGCAGCTAAGTTATTTCCTAAAGTAGTTTTTGTGGGAAAAAAATTTTTGCATGGAGAATCCTACCAACATATTCTACATACAGAAGTCTCTGCAGTGATTGGCACACAAGGATGTGAAACTGCACATTTGGTATTGTGTGTATGTAGATCTGCAAGCCTTGTGAATAGCTGTCTGAATCCTAGACCTGTCCTGGGCCCACCTCAGTCATACAACAGATAACTGGGGCCAGAGAAGTTGCTCTGCTAGAAAGCCCTTTTCTCAGCCAGCTCTGGTGGTAGACAACTTCAGATCATCTAGAGACAGCTTTAGATCATCACCAGAGGAGCAAAACAACCCACCCCCCCCGCCTTACCAAGACAGCCCACAGCACATAAATTGAGAGCAAACCCCATCCCATTCTAGCACTGAAGATGTTACCTAGCCAGGTAATGAAACGTTTGCAAGAAAAGAACCAAGCTCAGAGAACCCCAAGGACTCCACAGATCATCTTTTTCTTATCTGTAATGTTTATTGAATATAGAGATCAGGTGATACTCATGGGCAACTCTAGGACAAAAGCAACTAATTTATTTCACCATCTCTGGTACAGATCTGTTTCTTTTTTAATGTATCTTTATTTATCATTCTTTTAAAGAAACAAAACAAAATAAATCATCTTCCAAAAACTAAGCATGACTACTTGCCTCAAATGAGTCAGCTTTCGGAGGAAAGAATTTACAGTGCAAAGAGTCATAACGTTACACAGTGCCCTAAATGCAACACCATATGCCTATAAAAGACATCATAATGGCATATATTTATTTTCATTCCTTTTATACTTAACATGAAACATTGCTTTAAATGTCACTGCTAGGCAAAAGTTAAACATTTGGGTTTAGTAGGGTATCTGAAGATTTACATGGTTATAAATTCTGATCATTTCACCAAGCATGCAAAATGTACTGATTGGTGTTTAACAATTAGGGCTGGGAAAGAGGGGTTTTGATTCAACACACCTTTGTAGCAGATTCAGAAATCAAAGGAGGGGCTGGTTTTGAAGCAGCAAATCAAATCAAGGGGCTGTGAAGTGCTTTATAGCCTGTTGAAACACTTTGCAGATCGGATGGCTTTTCGGTTGCCTCTGGATTTGTTACAGACAGCATGTAAGGGGGCAGCTGGACTTCCATATAAAGACAACACTGAGAAGGCAGGAGGAGATCAGCTCACAGCCGTTGGCATGAATATGCAGCCAGATGCATTTTGGCATCTCTTCACCTCCTCTTCCTATCAGAGCTCAGAAGATGCGGTGGACTAACAATACTATAGGCTTCTTTCACATTCTCCGTTCTAAACTTTTTAGGTGGCTAACCACCAAGGTTAACTTTGCTCTCCTTTGTGCAAGTGCAGTGCTACCTTTTTGTCCAGCTCTTGTCCACACAATGAGGCATTCAATTTAACTTTTAGTACTCTGACTCTGGGCTCCAGCTTGGCCAGCCCAGTACACATTCCTGAATCGGACTTTTATGTTTGTAGTCTCCCCTCTTGACAATGAGGAAAAGGATGTTTGTGGTAATGACCGCTTTAAGCAAATTGATGGGAAGCAGACTAGCTAGTGCTGGAAGAGCCAACACACCAAAGGAAGAGGAATTTTGATGAAATTTATTCACCCCTATCCCTTAAGCCCTCAGAGTCACAACTTAAACACAAGGACAGTCTCTTTTGAACCTTCAGTCATTCAGATTATTAACTCAATTTATGATGTCCAACTGAGGAGATGTGCTATCTAGCAGTTTATTGGCAGTTGCTCTTGCTGTTCTCTCAACAGACATATTTAGTTTGTCAGCTTAGCTGGGGGTGTTTGGGCAGCCCCTTCTCCTTTACAGCATCCAGCTCCCATTTTACCCTCCTTGTGATCCTGCCTGAGGGAACGGCTCAGTTCTCTGCCTGGGCTTGGAGAAGGTTGGGGGAGTTAGAGTTAGAGAAGAAGAGGACTCCAGCAACAGTTTTCTTTGCCTTTAGCTTTCTTTCATCATTCTTATCTCATCCTTCATCCTCTTCCTTCCTCCCTCTTCTGTGCAGCCTTTAAGCTCTGCAGACACTGAGGCTTACTCTCAGGGAGACTATTTTCCTTTCAACACAATGTCTGGCTAATACTCACAGCTGCTGCTCTGTACTTTTACTGTTTTTATTCTTTCCAGCTGAATGGAAGGTTGGAAAGACATTATGTAAAGGAGTTCAGGACTGTGTCACTTCATCAGCACGAGAAGTCTCCAAAAACTGGACAGAATTTTTTTGTGCAGGAAGAAATTGACAAAAGAAAGATCAAGTTTACAAAATGGGCTAGATCAAGCCGAGAATTGTTGAGATAAATATTCCCGATTTTTTTCTGTGTGTATCCCTCTGGGAGATGCAGTGGTTCAGAATGCTGCTGACTCCATCATTCTAAATCTACATCCTTCCTGGTCATGTGACCCAGATTGGACCCTATGTAGCCCACTCTATGCTTCCAAATACACATATACCAATGCAGAGATGCAACATGGGGAGGAAGCAGAAGCATACATACCCAGGCAATACATACGCACACACCTAGATTAGCCTCTGGAGAAAAAGTGCATGTATGTGCAGAAACGCAATACATTACTACAGAAGAAAATACAGTTGCTGCTTCTGATATTCCTGTAAAGCAGTTGGAAAGAAGTCAGGCAGCCAGGTTCTACAACTTTCCCTTATTAAGAATAAAGGGTGAAGGGCCCCAAATGCCATTTTTTTCTGTATCAATCTCTTCCTCTGTGTCTTGCCTATCTCTCTGTGACAGCCTGCTTCTGCTCTCTATTCTAATTAACTAAATGTAGTATTGCCAGCAAATTGGCATGACCAAGTCCTGTTGAGAAGGCCCTTTCCAAGATCAGCCAAGTTTGTTAACCAGCTATCATACCCATCTTGGTCCTACAACAAAACCTAAGGGTAACTGAATAAAAAATCAACCAAGTCCTACAGTACTATATATCTGAATGTATTTTATTTCTTCAGAGTGGAATGTATAGTACTTCATTTACTGCAGTATATGGAAGCCATAGTCCCTCTGTTGAGTGAGCTTTGCTTTGGTTGCCCCAAAGTTCAAAGTGTTAACGTGCCCTGGACATGTAAGAAACATTTCCCCATCCCTGATGACAACTCATCTGCTATCATAGAGAAAGCAGAGATTTGGAGAGGTGAGATATGAGCTCAATCTTTAGAAATGGCCATTTGATAGGTTCTCAACTGAGATTGGTCATGCTAAGGATATGTTGTTAGATTTGTGTAATGCTTGGCCCACTGCATGCCAGGATAGTGCTGAAGTCTCTCTAGCAGCTAGTGTTGGGGAACATCAGTTTATATCCCTTGGGGTGAAGTTTAGAGTTAACATGGGATCTTGTGAAGTGACTGTGTTTTTTTTTTTTAAAAGATGTAGGTTAGGTACAATTTCCATGATGTAGCTTGAAGGTTAGACTTCGCATGGCATATAAAAGCCACATTCCAAAGCGTGTATTCCAAAGCCCCCATCCATTTTGAGACTGGTTTTCAGAAGTTCTCTGGGTGCCTTAAACTTAGCAAGGCTTATAGTAAGAGACCTTTTCTGCTTCTTAACCCCCTTCCTTCAATGAAAAAAAGGCACCAACAATTTTGGCCCTGCCTGCCCTGTGTTGTTCTGGGTGCAGGAAGGAGTGCTGGCAAGCTGCATGCAGGTCCCCACCAGCACCATTTTTTTCTTTTTGCTCTCTACTTTACAAAATATCAGTAGCAATTGTTACTGAAAGTATTATTTCCTGTGGCACAGACAGATGATGGGCAAAATATAGCTGGCGACCAATTTAAAAAAACAGTGTTAGATATAGACCCATTATTTAAAATTTCCATGCAAGAAAGTTTACTCCAAGAAAATATGACAAAGTAGTAATAACAATAACAATAACAATAATGATCTAGCCTTATACCAAGAAGATAATGTTCAATGCAGCATTACTTGTATTGAGTACAGCTATAATTTAGTCACCAAATGAGAATAAAAGTTAATAAGCTGTAGAACCTGAAAAATAATATTTGATTAATTGTAATTTGGGCTACAATCCAATCCCCACTTAGTACATTACTAAATGTAATGAATCTTTTTTCTGCACTGTTAATAGGTTTTTGATGCATTAGAAAACAATGTTTTTGTCTGGATGCTTCTGATACATTGTATGACAATTTTCTCTCAAAATAAAAAATGCATTGATATTCACTTTATTTGTGTTTTCCAGAATGATCCTTCTTCAGAGAAGAAAGGTATTCAACATATAGCATTCTCAATTAAAAAAAAAATTGTTGATGATATCAATTGCCCTTGTGACATCGTGGGATTACTCATTCTTTGTTAATATTTTAGTTCAACTCTACCATTTATATTACTGTCACATTGGAAAGAGGAAGTTAATTCTGAGTGATCTCGCTTAAACTCTCTAGCTTCATTTTCAACTTAGCCATGTACTGTATGTTTAAAGCAAACGGAGAAAGCAGCAGATTCCAGTCAGATGCAAGAGACATTATTATGCAGGTAATTTTTAAATTTGTTTTCCTTGTTAAAAAAAACTTACGGGAAGTAAATCAGCTGAGCCAAATGACAGATCACTTCTGTGACTTGGGAAACTTGACAAGATACCTTTCCACAGCTGTTCATTGTATTGTAAGTCATAATTAAGTTCTGTTGTTCATAGTAAAGACTAACAGCATGATTCTCTGAATATTTAGTTGGAAGTAAGTCAAACTGTCCCATGAGGCATCTTCTCAGATATTTGAGCATGAATAGCCTTAACTGTAGTGGAAACAATGCAAATATAATGGAGAAATATTTGTCACAGCTAACTAAAATAGACTTATTAAGTCTGTTAATAAAATAGTTCAGTACAGAAGTTTAATTATGTAAGATTTTAATTTAGTTTTTAAAAAGTTAATTAGTAAATGCAATAAATGTATATAAACATTAGATGCTTTATTCTTTAGTCTGTGTATTTTATAACTTAGAGTGGGAAAGTTCAAGCTTAACCATTAGCAATATAGTATCTAAGATAAGTGAAAAAGACTCACAACACATTAATACTAATAATACTGTCTTGATTTATTTGAACTTGTTTCTCATGGTTTCACCTAAAGTTCCTCCTGATGGAAACCAGGACATGACAAAAACATCTACTCTAATGGTTCACAGTGAGTCTGAATATGCTTCTGAGTAGGAAGTATTATAAATGAACCCATATGGGTGTAGCAACAAAAAATGGGCAAAATTATGAGAATCGTGATCAGGCCAACGCCTATGAAGTCCAACATTTTCTGTCATAGAGTGGCCAAACAAATGGATCCAGGTATCTGATAAGCAGGATGTGAGGATGATAAAGCTCTTCAGTTATTGTTTCCTTGCAACTGACATGACATTTTGCTTTTGATTCTACAAGTAGTAGGCAAATGAGTAGTTATCAAGACTAGTATCACTGACAGTCCTATACTCCATGAATTTGCCAAACGCGCTTTTGAACCTTCCTTAAAATAATCTAAACCAGTGTTGCTCAACCTGGGGAATTCTGGGAGTTGAAGTCCACACATTTTAAAGTTGCCAAGGTTGAGAAAAATTGATCTAAACCATCATTACATATGGGCTGAGCTTATTTCCCAAATCAATCCAAGCCTGGAAAAAAGTGCTGATTCGTTAAACTTAACATCTACCTTCCTTGCCAATGTCCTCCTTCTGTTCCTACATTTCAGTGCTTTTTGCCAGTGAATAAATGTTCCTAGCAATAAATACTGCCTGAGGAAGGAAGTCCTGGATGACCTTCTTAAAATCTGCCCTAATGGGTAGCATTATGGATAGCATAAATAAATAAAAACAGAAAGGCAGAATCTGATAATGGTGAACCTGAGAGAAGGGCTTCTTCTGAACTTCTTATATGGCTCCCATGGAAGAATGATATATTTCAAACAGGCTGATCCCAAGGCTTTTTAGGAACCAGTACTTTGCATTTTTCCTAGAAGTAGTAGTAAACACATGCTCCATGTAGACATCCTGTTTAATAGTGTGGTTGAAACAGTTTGGACCAGCTGAAATTCCCAAACACATGAATAGAAATTTGTCCCATACAGAGCACATTAGAGTAACTCAAATCAGTATTTAAAACATGTGTCACTATTGGAAAAACTGACATCTTCAGGGATGTAGGCAATCTACAGTCTATCAGTTCTGAAAGCTCTGCTGATGACCAGTCTGGGCACCATGTCTAACAAGATAAAATGGATCAGTGTGGGTCCAGAGAACACAAAAGCATCTGACAGAGAGACAGAGGCAAGCCAAAAGAGGCTGATTTTCTTTTCCCTGAGTTCTCGTTCTTTACTTGTCTTTTGACTGCCTGAGTGTGAAATGTGAAAGTAAATAAGCTCCAAATCCTGGTCAGGTTCATCCATTTCTATTATCCCATTGCAGAATTCATCCCCTAGTCTCCACAGATTCCACTGGTGCTTTTGACAGAATGCACACCAAGGTTTCTATGAAGAAGTGAAAAGCTGTAGCTTAATGGTAGAATCTCTGTTTTGTGTCCAGAAAGTCCTAGCTTAACTCTGTAGTCTCTAGAAAGATTACAATCTGAAATTTTGGAAAGCTGCCATTAATTAGTGAAGATGCTATTAAATTAGATGGACCAATTTCTATTCTAAATCAAGGTCTCTCTTTTGGCAAATATTATGAAGTTGCCAAATGTATAAAAAAGGTGATATTGCCAAAAATATCCAAAATATGTTTAAAACTCCTGCACTGTCAGCCTTACCAGGTGGACTCAACAGGAAACATGACCAGATCAGCTAATTCTACTTTACTGTAAAGCTACATTAACTAGATCTTACAAGTCTAAAAGTACAACTCTCCTGCCTTCACCTTGACAGCCCCAGAACTCAGGGAGGGTCCCTTCTGAGTCTCTTGCCCCACCCACTATACAGCTGCAGGCTATGCTGTCTCTTATCTGACCATTCCCTGGGCAGAATCTCTTTGCCCCATCTCCCAAGGTCGTTTCCACATACCATTACATGTACTGTGTTTATTCTCATGAAATATAATGCTAACCAGAAAAGCACCACTATAAGAAAAATGGAAATATGGGCTGGAACATGGACTACATTACATCTTCCTCCCCACTCCCTTCTGAAAAATCCCTGTGATTGCTCATAGCCTTCCCCTGAGTGGGTGTTTTATTGTTGTGCGTGCACGTGTGTGTGTGCATGTTTTTAGTTAGTACAGAAATAAATAAATAAATGCAGAGGAAGAGTACCACTTGTGTCAAATAGTCAAACTGTCACAGTTCATTAATTCAACAGGTTTGAATCATTTGTTATTTATTTTACTGGGTTGTCCAATCATGAAAGACTATAATCATGATAAAGTATTGATGTACTCTGAATGCTTACCAGACTATATCTTTTTGTCATGAGAAGGTATCATTAATGACCAGCTGATCTTTCTTAAATCCTAAATACTTTTACTCAAGGATGAGAAAATTGTAGATATTGCTAGAATTTGAGAACTATTTGGAAATGATATCTCATTTCTTTATCTCCTCTCCTATTCCACACCTGTCATTTAAGGCTGGATCTTGAAATCAATGTCTGTTGATGCAAGTACTTTAGGGATACTGAAAAGTTGGAATATTTGGAGCAGAGATTAATCTGAAGATTAAAAGCTTAAATTGCATCTCCAGCTTGAACTTGTGTATCACAAAAGACTGTATAGCTTCACTAATTTCTCTTTCTTCTAAACAAAATGGCATTGTTTGAAGATTATAGGAAGTGAATACCAGTTAATTGCTCATTTAAGTATGCTGTACATTCATAACATTTTTTTTAATTGTTGTCAGAAGGTATGTAGACATAACGCTGTAACCCTGGTATTGCAGAAAAGAGTTGAAATAGAGGTATATGATAAGTTTCCCAGATGGTGAGAAAGAAGAAAAGTAACCTATCTAATTGCCAGAGTAAATGAATACAAGGCCTGAAAAAATACACTAACTATGTATGAAGCAAATTTGGGTTTTAAGTTACACTTAGCAGTTTCATTAAGGAAATTATCTTCTGTCCAGATTCAGTAATCTTCTGAAAGATTAATGTTTTCTGATTCATTCATTCAAGTTCATTGACTTTATTATTTTATTATTCAGTTTCTTTATGAGTTAATGCTTGGTGATGTAATTGCTCTGTTTCTGGAGTCATGTCTTGTGAAAACCCATGCATTTACATTACAAGGTGAAGTTAGAGACTTAAAATGGATGGGTGCAAGAGCTATAGAATATTTCAAGGATTTTTAGTCCAGATGTGCCAGCATGAATAATAATGTATCAGAAATCTTATATCGTGTTGTGCGTTATTTGATTGAAATGACTTAGTGCTAGAAGATGTTATCAACAATGATTGTTTTATGTAACTTCAGTATGTAACATTTTAGCATGACTGTGCTGAAATACGGTTCATTTATTTTAACATCTGATCATACTTCCTACTTTTAAAGGTCAGTTGTATATTTTTAGTTCTGAAAGGTTATGAGCTGTAATCTTACAACATACTGTACATTTCAGTGGGTGGAGTCCAGACAAGGCTAGGTTGCACTGACATTTTCAGAAATTACAATGTAATTCTATATACATATACTCTGAAGAAGGATTACATTCAATACAGCTTATGTTAAGTGTGACAAATATTGTATATATGTACTTGTACACTTTGATTCAGTTGATTTGCATTTGGACTATCACACGGTGTCCCCAAATTTATGTAATGTACAGAGCAGAAATAAGCAATCCCATCAGCCCTCATGATGATGAACAGTGACAAAGGATTCTGGGAATTACACTTCAAAATATCTGGAGGGCTGCAATTTGGTGCTCCTGGTCAGTGTGTCTTCAAATATAGAAAGACTGTGCATGCCTCTTGAATTCTGGTGGAGCAAGACAGCAAGCATGTTATGCTGCTCTCATGGAGCTTGATGAAATCCACTTAGCTGGTGTATTGTACCCCATTTTCCTTCACGATATATCCCAGAAAAGATAATGTATTATCTGCATCATGAATACTCCAGCTTCCAGAATTCCCACTTTACATGAAAAGAAAGATGTCTCCTTGGGTGTTTGTTCTGATGGTGTTTTACTTTGGAGCAGCCTGGAAATGACTGTAGCAATGAGGGGGTGTGATAAAAAAAAAATCAAGATGGCAAGCAATTGAAGCTCTGCCTGTTTTTTACACGTTGGACGTCAATCTCACTGTCATGGCTGCCACCTTCACATTTGTGACCACACCCTGGAAACACCCCTGGAAACAATGCATGTCTTTAAATGCACGCCTGGTTCAACACTCCATGGAACAGTGATTGATAATTAATCTGATTTTAAGAACAAAGCAGGTTCATGGGTAAAAGGGTCTTTTACAAGCCCTCCAACATGCTGCTTTTCTCCTGGGGAGGCTTGCAGCCAACACAGGAGCCCAGCTCAGGGGAAATGTGATTTATTTTCCAGGTAGAGAGGCAAGCCATGG